CGGTCCTCAGCTCGTACTCGTGGACGTCGTCAGAGCTGTTGTGGCGCCACAGGATAGTTTGCAGGCGACAGTCCTCCGGATGCACGAGGATTTGTCGGTACATTTTCTCGATGTCCGTGACGAGCACGAACCGATGCCAACGCCAACGAAGTAGGACGTCAGCGAGTGCTGGCAAGAGATTGGCTCCAGTGAGGAGGTGTGCGTTCAGCGACTCTCCGGACCGTGTGCGCTGGGAGCCGTTGAACACGACCCTGAGCTTCGTGGTCGTGCTTGACTCCTTGAGGACCCCGTGATGCGGTAAGTAACACCTGGGGCTGCCAGTTGTTGTAATTGTGCTAACCTTCTCCATATGTTGTAGGTTCTCGTATTCCTCCATGAAGTCTAGATAGAGGTCACCGAAACGACGATCTCGTGCTCCTTTCCGCTCCATGGCATCCAGTAGGCGTTCAGCAGGTCGACGAGTCTCGCTGAGCGATGTCGGCGGCGGTGAAGTAAATGGCAGCCTCACCATGTATCGTCCACTGGACGTGCGTGTGACCGTGCGCACGTAGATGTCCTCGCATCTGGCTTCATCGGCGGTAAGCGGTGTCCCAGCCACTGGCTCGCGTTCCTGCTCCCAGAAGCGTCGAACCATGTCAGCGAGGTCGTGGTCTGCGGTGCACTGGAACGTGCTGCGATGTCCTTCGGTTGCTGCTGCATCGTAGCCCCCGGACAGGATCCATCCTAAGCTCGTCTGTTGGGCGATCGGCATCCGTGATCCGCCCTTGCGAAGACCTTCCTCGAGGATCAATGCGTAAACTTCTGCTCCAAGAAGTAACTCCGCAGGATCGTCGTCCAGGAAGCGCGGGTCGGCCAGTCGAAGTCCTTGGATGTGAGGCCAGCTACGATCTTCGCGTTGAGAGGTGCCTTGCTGCAATGAGATGCGAGGCAGCACAAAAGCAACCACGCGGAGCTCGACATTGGTCACGTCAGATGTGATGTCTAGCGTGACCTTGCCACGCGCTGATCCAGAGCGAGTCCCTCCGATGCCAAAGATGGACAGATCTGTTGAAGCTCGAGGCAGCCGAAGACGCTGAGCCAGTGCCTCAGAGATGATGGACACCTCGGAGCACTGGTCTATCAAGACTCGAACCTCGTGTGGTGATCCGTAGCGATCAGCGATCTTGACGCGAGCGGTTGCGAGGAGGACGGCCTTGTGTGTTTCAGTTTGCCGTGCCGTGGCCAGTGTGGTGGCAAGTGAAGTGGCCTCAGCAGATGGTGTTGATGTGGCTGCCCCGTGCAGCATGGTGTGGTGTCGCGCGTTGCACGTGAGGCAGTTCCTTTTTGACTGACACCGTGCTAGGAAATGATTGCCTAGGCAGTTGAAGCACAGTCGGTTGGCCTCCACGAACGTTTTCCGCTCAACCGCGGTCTTGGCCTTGAAGCCCTTGCACGTCATCAGTGTATGGTTTTCACGGCACAGTACACACTGAGGTGAATCTGTGCCTTGGTGCTTCGTGACGTGCGCTTTGACGAATCGTGATGTCTCTCCAGATCCCTTTGTGACACTCCTCGGTCGTGCGGCGTTGAGTGTCAAGATCCGTCGACTAATGAAGTCGAGAAGTGCCTCGTTCCGTGGTGGTTCGGTGGGGTCTGAAGTGGTTGACTCCCATTCGAGACGAGTGCGTGCGTCGAACAATTCGACGACCATGTGGTTGAACAGATCCATCCCGTGCGAGTTGATAGGACGTCCGATGCTCTCCTGTGCGTTGACTGCGGCGGTGACAGCGTTGTGAATGCGGCTCAGCTCCTCGGCGGTATCTCCCTTCATCTTTGGCACGGCGGTAAACGTGGCAAAGTTGGAGCGGATCAACTCTCTTTTGTTATTGTAGTGCTTGTCCAAGATTGCCCAAGCGCGATCGTAGTTGTCACTCGTGACAGGTAGTGACCTTATCAACTTTTCAGCCGGACCTGTCAGACACGAGCGGAGGTGATGAAGGCGCTCAATGTTCGAGATTGAATTGCTGCTCACGACTGACAGGAAGAGATCGCGAAAGGATGGCCAGTCAGCGTAGGCGCCAGAGAACGGCGGCAACTTGATGCGCGGCAGCGAAGACTTTGATGCGACGTCGACGGATGGAGACACGTTCGGCTTCCGAAAATGTTCGGTATAACTATCTAAAGTACTGCGTTGTGCAACGTACAGATTTTCCGTATCGCCATGTAACTCCGACTTGTAGTAATCGCTCTCGCAAAATTTTTCTTTCAGAGCCGCTCGAATGAGATCATGCTGTGTCTCGAATTTCGTCCACAGCTGATCTAAGATTCTGGTGCGTGTGGATACGGCACTGGCGGTGATGTTGGTGGTGCCCAGCTTCTTCAAATATTCCACGGAACGTGAAATGCGGACCTGGATCTCACGTTGACAGTCGATCAACGTGTTCACATCCATGGTGAACTAAGAGCGCCCACGAACTACACGAAGTCACGTTCACAAACTTGCGGGTGCCGGCGAGAAGTATCCGGCTCGAAGGACCAGAAATATGTTCGCGAACGCGCTGCGTGAACAAAGGATCGCGCTGCACAAAGGCTGAGTCAGTTTTTCGTAAAACAAAGACTTTAATAATATCACACACGTATTGACAAAATACTATAACAACTTATTACAAAACCTTAATTATCTTTACAGTGAAATCGGAATCAAAAATCAAAGTGCGGAATAGCGGCGGTCGTCAACGAATTTTGCGGTTTATCGGATAAGCGGTTTGCGATATGTTTTCACGACGGAAAAGCGATAAAGCTGGCAAGCGGGGTGAGAGCTCCTCATTTATAATTTCCGGAGCGGAGCCCACCTTCGTGTGACGCGCCAATAATTTTGCGTCTTTTTAAAGTTGCGCGAGGTGACCTGAGCGTATTACGCGTAATTGGCCGCTGTCAAATTTGACAGAACAACGGCTGTTAGAAAGCATGCGCGAGCTGGCAATCACGATGATTATTGGCGAAACGAGGCGCCCGTGAGAAGCCGCGCATGCTCAAGAAAATATAATTATTCGGCGGAACGGTTGCGACACCGTTAATTGTTTATATTTCGAGCGTGTTTTTATACGACAGGATAATTTGTGTCGCGATATGTTTTCCAGAAAAAAACATATAAAAAACGATATGCCTGTTGACTTGCGATCGGAAGCGAATATTCTAGAATATTCCATTTAAAAATATAATATTTTATTACACAAGTAGTTTTCTATTATGCGTTTCAAACATTTGGCATTTATTTTTTTTAATAATTAAAAACCTTTACAAAAATAACATTCCAAGAGCAAGAGTATTATTGCTCTCATCAAGAATAAGTATTGTTTGATCTTTGGTCAGCAACTTATTTATATAGTCATTTATCAAATAACTCACGTCAAGAAATAGAAGCTTATATCATCCCTAAGGGGTGATTTTGACAAAATCTCACCAAATTTTGACACCGATTTAAAAAAGATCAATCCATTACACGTGCGTGTGTATGTGTGTAGGATTCTCATCGCGATTCCCTGCTGTGACATACTGATTTAATAAAGAAAAAAAAGAGATATGTACCTTATATCACTCCTAAGATCTCAAGGAATATGTTAATGCTATGAACATCAGTCCAGTAGTTTTTAAATTAATAACGTTCAAACATACACCACCCGTAAAAATTTTATATATTATTATAGATACAAATGAAATATTGCAATGATGTTTTTCTTTTGTTTTCTAAGTTTTGTTTACTATCTATTAATCTGGTTACTTTACAAAATAGATAATTTTGTGAACCTTGTGCCTGATATCGGCATATAAATGTCAGTCTTTCAACTAAGGCAGTAGTGCACATAACTCATAGAATCCAATCGGGCAAGTTTCGTCGATACGACCACGAAAATCTATTAATCTATAATTCGATAGAACTTCCGAATTATAATCTATCGAGTGTTACGGTATCGATCGCGATATGCTAACGACTTAATGGTCGATCTCATTGCGCGGAATACAGATAACCCCGTTGTTAAAAATGTAGTGACAAAAAGAGAATTATTAAAAAATATTATAGTAGAAATTGTATAGAATAGTTAAAAATATTTTATTTACTTTTATAATAAACTAATATTTCATAATTTTAATTTTCTTAAGTTGAATTTAGGACACAATAATTTTCAAAACTTTTAAAATGAAAAATGTTTCTTTGAGAAATATATACAAATTTATTATATTTTCTTGGAAATTCAGATCTATTTATATTAAAAAATACTTTGAAGTATGATTTCGTAATTTTTAAAAAATTTTTGATCAGTTAGATTCGTATTATGCCCAACTTAATTTTTTTGATATTTTGGATTAACTTTTAAGATAGACGGACCAATATATCCTTAAAATCATGAAAGAAAAATATACAAATAACAACGATATAATAATGGGTACATTGGTGATCTGAATTATGGAAGTTAAATAAATTAATAAATATATAAATATAATAAATAAATATATATATAAATAAATAATAAATAAATAAATAAATAGATAAATAATTTAATTCAGCGATTAAAAGTACTCAAAAATATCGTTCGCTAGCTATCCACGTTTTTTGTTTTATACATATTATTATAAATTTAGCAATTTATAGATTTTTGATACATATTGAATTATTTATTGAATTATACATTATACACGCTGAATTATATAATTATATAATTATCATACTTTTATATAATATATGAAAAAATCTATTGACTTTGTCAAACTGTTGAATCTACAGAATGTGGTCAATAACGCAGCGCATCCTTTGCTCTTTAGATCAAACTATAATTTATTTTTTTCCATTAGTATAATATCACAAGTCATCGATGCAGCATTATTAAATAGTGGACAGAATGTTAATGCGCTCAGTTTATTCATTTCACTCATTTGTTTTCTGCCTTTTTTGATAATACAAATCCTGATATTCCAGAAAACATTCTCGATTTATTTTCATTCGCTATTTAGTACTGTTAATTATGGATGGAATCAGATTGATAGGATTTATGTGTTTGTTGTCGTTTTGCGGTTGTCTTGATGGGGCGATCATCGGACCAAACGAACCCGTGGAACAAATAATTCAATCCACATGGAACAATCTCGAACTCAATTCCGATTTAGATCTTACCACCGTAAGTATACACCTTTGACTAATAGAAACGAGGATTAAAATTTTCATTATTACAGTTAACTGAATTTCTTCTGCGCTGTTAAAAAAATGATTAAAAAACGCGATCTTATACATGGTGTCACTTAATTCGCGCCTACTAATTGTAAGTACATAGCGTTATTCCTTACCAAAAAATATTTTTGATACATAGCGTTATTTCTTACCAAAAAATATTTCTATACGTTTTCTTTCTATATTCTATATCTATATTACTTAATAAAGAAATATTTACACTGGTCGACATCATTTTTGCCTTAAAGCAAATAAAGTTGTTTCTGAAAAATTTTGATGCGTTGATTACGAATCTGGTTCAGTAAATGTCGTAACAGGGCAAGTTTTTGAGATATTCTAATTTAAAGGTGCAAAAAAATGAGATTTTAGGCCATTTTCAACTATACCTACATAATCTTTAAAAATTTTCTTTCAACATTCGGATTAATAGCATATTAAATTGCTATACTCACCCTTAACTTACCCTTTCCAATGCTAATTCGATTACTATACCCAGACAGCACAGAATATTTATAAAATATTTATAAAATATTTATAATAATTATTTTAATATTTTATAAATATATTTATCATAAATATTTTATAAATGTTTTTGGAATCTTAGATTCAATGATTTGTTAAACTACTGTGTTGCCTAAGTATTCAGTGTATATATTATAATTTTATATTGTATTTTAAAATAAATATCTAATGAGTTATTTATAAACAATTTTTACATATTTTTAATTTTTTATAAATGTCTTAAAATTATTTCTGTTTTTAAGCTACATTCTGCAACAGAATGTCTTTTAACAAATAAATTTACATACACGTGTATCATGTACATCGATATATACATAAAGATTTATAGAATATCTCAAAAACTTGACATGATACGACATTTTCTGAGCCAAATTTGTAATCAGCGCATCAAAATCTACCAGAACCAGCTTTGTTTGCTTTAAGGCCAAAAAAAGTTGTATTTTTATCGACCAGTGTTATTTAATAAAGTAGGGCAAAAAACGCCAAGTTGTAGCGTATGTACTTAGTGGACGCGAATTAAGTGACACCCTGTATACCGCGCTTACCGTTTTTATAGTTCAATCAAAATTAAAATTTCCGAAAAGTGTATGTACATCATCGTTAAATAAGTATTCTTTAAAAATATTTATCGTGTTTAAAACACACAAACACACAGTGTCTTACAACTTTCGTATAAAACATTTTCTTCGAAACTAGTAGCGTGTAGTTTTCGTCAAATTAAGTTTTCAATATTTGTTCCACATCTTGCTTATATAGCTCTGTATATCTATATGCAAATGTATATACAAACGTAAGAGGCAGTTTTGCTGCAATTCATTATTATTATACAATTATTGAATACATATTGGCATATATATATAATAACTCATGATATATCAAAATAGCTCCATATTTTATTTTTAAAAAGAATTATGTAAAAAGAATTATCTTTTTACACAGCAATTGATTCCTCCCATTATGTTGTCACTACAATTATTAAAGCAAGATCATCAGAAAATGAATGTTTTACTAGATACTTCAGAAGTTATATAAAAATGATATCAAATTAAAGTATAAAATATCTCGTGAATAATTTACTTCTTGATCATCCAATTCTTTTAATTTTTTATATAGATTATTGTAAGAAATCGATTTAGAATATATATTAAAAAACTGTGATTCTATTTAAAAAATTCAAAATTATTTGAGCTGGCCTTGGCAATACCATCCAAAGTCCAAATGATGAGATCAGTAAATAAATATTTTCAAACCATTTCTGTCTAATGTTTCAGATAGAAATTGTTTTTTTTTTTTTTTTTTTTTATAAAATTTATCATTTTTCAAGATGTTCCGGGGTCTCGATCTTTGTCAATGATTAATTGAACACTCTATACGTATACATATACAAACATATTACATGTAAGAGAGATATGGAAAATAATATATATAATTAATCCTCTACAATTTCTTTTTAAAATACAATAATTTTAATAGAGTTTTACACTTTAGCTTGCAAAAATACTTTAATTATCCTATATTTTTTGAAAATTATAATTATATGCTTAATTAGATATAATTGGATTTATTTTAGATTTTATAATTATTCGTTATTATTATAATATAATTTTTATTCATATTTATGAGATATTGTATATCATCTTTTACATTTATATAGTTATTGTAAAACGCTACATTATTATGAAAATATCAAGAGACACGATATTGTGTGACGCCAAGTGCATGCATGAAAGATCAGGCCGACTGTGTATCTACCTATACGCGACATCCTCATTTCGCGAGTAGAACTTACAATTAGTTAAAAATTATTGATTTTTATATAAAAGCTACACAGATCGAATTTTTATATGTTTTAACCAGGGATTAAATTAATAACAAAAGTGATTTGTTATTTTATATTATACTCTCATTTTCGTTATTCTTTTTTCAGCCAGAAATAATAGAAAAAGCAGGTTACTCCACGGAAACTCACACTGTAATAACAGAAGATGGCTACATTTTGACGTTACATCGTATTCCAGGTGGCAACGGATCTCTACCTGTATTATTAGTACACGGTTCTTTTAACGACGACAGTGTTTGGATCACTCTTGGTAAAGGCAAAGCACTCGGTACGACTTTTTATATAATCATTGAAAGATATACCAGTAATGTTGATCAGATGATATCATTAATCTTTCTTTCAAGTAAAAAATATTGAAGAAAAAAATATTGAATTTAAATGACAAGGAACAAAAATATTTTAATGCACTTAGAATTGCGTTACATTTTTAGTTCATCTTATTTTTTAAAGTTTTTTAAAATTTAAAAGTTGAGTTTCAAAAATTTGTTACATAATAGGTATTTTATATACCTATGTATATTTTATATAGTTACATAATTTACATATATGATTATGATCAATTAAAATTAATATCAATCAAAATTAATATTTGTCGCTAGTGGTGAAAATAAGCTTAAACGACTTGACTACGACGTAACTAGCAATTTTATTTGATTATTTCACGACGTTTCGACCATTTGGTTGTGGTCCTTTTCAAGTGAAATTTCATCAATTAAACCGAGGTTAACATAACATCACACCGGTGTTATTTGAAATCGAAAGTTAAACGTTAAAAGAAGAACACGTCCCATCGTTATGATGTTAAAAGTTAAAACTTAAAAGAGGAACACGTCCCATCGTTATGATGTTTCGTCAAAAGACACTTTAGTCGTTGACGAAACATCATAACGATGGGACGTGTTCCTCTTTTAAGTTTTAACTTTTAACATCATAACGATGGGACGTGTTCCTCTTTTAACGTTTAACTTTCGATTTCAAATAACACCGGTATGATGTTATGTTAACCTCGGTTTAATTGATGAAATTTCACTTGAAAAGGACCACAACCAAATGGTCGAAACGTCGTGAAATAATCAAATATATGATTATATTTAGAATTGTAATTAGTGAATTATAAATCAGGTTACGGTGTTAATTTTGTTACAAAAATATTTTATTATAAAAATATGGTAAAAATATGGAATATGAAAAAAAGAAGGAAATCAAGTATTGCAAATATTTTTGCATTTTGTGTTCTAGCTTATTTATTAGCGGATCAGGGATACGATGTTTGGTTGGCTAATATGCGTGGAACTACTTATTCGAAAAAGCACATTACCTTATCATCATCAGATTGGAAATTTTGGGATTTTAGGTATTCCTAAAATAAAAAATAATAATTTTTAGAAAATAAAAAGTTTTTTCTCTGGTAAAGTTTTCGTAAATGCTTTATTATTAATACAAAAATTAAAAATTTTTGAAAACTATTAAAAAATATTATAGTAGAAATTGTATAGAATAGTTAAAAATATTTTATTTACTTTTATAATAAACTAATATTTCATAATTTTAATTTTCTTAAGTTGAATTTAGGACACAATAATTTTCAAAACTTTTAAAATGAAAAATGTTTCTTTGAGAAATATATACAAATTTATTATATTTTCTTGGAAATTCAGATCTATTTATATTAAAAAATACTTTGAAGTATGATTTCGTAATTTTTAAAAAATTTTTGATCAGTTAGATTCGTATTATGCCCAACTTAATTTTTTTGATATTTTGGATTAACTTTTAAGATAGACGGACCAATATATCCTTAAAATCATGAAAGAAAAATATACAAATAACAACGATATAATAATGGGTACATTGGTGATCTGAATTATGGAAGTTAAATAAATTAATAAATATATAAATATAATAAATAAATATATATATAAATAAATAATAAATAAATAAATAAATAGATAAATAATTTAATTCAGCGATTAAAAGTACTCAAAAATATCGTTCGCTAGCTATCCACGTTTTTTGTTTTATACATATTATTATAAATTTAGCAATTTATAGATTTTTGATACATATTGAATTATTTATTGAATTATACATTATACACGCTGAATTATATAATTATATAATTATCATACTTTTATATAATATATGAAAAAATCTATTGACTTTGTCAAACTGTTGAATCTACAGAATGTGGTCAATAACGCAGCGCATCCTTTGCTCTTTAGATCAAACTATAATTTATTTTTTTCCATTAGTATAATATCACAAGTCATCGATGCAGCATTATTAAATAGTGGACAGAATGTTAATGCGCTCAGTTTATTCATTTCACTCATTTGTTTTCTGCCTTTTTTGATAATACAAATCCTGATATTCCAGAAAACATTCTCGATTTATTTTCATTCGCTATTTAGTACTGTTAATTATGGATGGAATCAGATTGATAGGATTTATGTGTTTGTTGTCGTTTTGCGGTTGTCTTGATGGGGCGATCATCGGACCAAACGAACCCGTGGAACAAATAATTCAATCCACATGGAACAATCTCGAACTCAATTCCGATTTAGATCTTACCACCGTAAGTATACACCTTTGACTAATAGAAACGAGGATTAAAATTTTCATTATTACAGTTAACTGAATTTCTTCTGCGCTGTTAAAAAAATGATTAAAAAACGCGATCTTATACATGGTGTCACTTAATTCGCGCCTACTAATTGTAAGTACATAGCGTTATTCCTTACCAAAAAATATTTTTGATACATAGCGTTATTTCTTACCAAAAAATATTTCTATACGTTTTCTTTCTATATTCTATATCTATATTACTTAATAAAGAAATATTTACACTGGTCGACATCATTTTTGCCTTAAAGCAAATAAAGTTGTTTCTGAAAAATTTTGATGCGTTGATTACGAATCTGGTTCAGTAAATGTCGTAACAGGGCAAGTTTTTGAGATATTCTAATTTAAAGGTGCAAAAAAATGAGATTTTAGGCCATTTTCAACTATACCTACATAATCTTTAAAAATTTTCTTTCAACATTCGGATTAATAGCATATTAAATTGCTATACTCACCCTTAACTTACCCTTTCCAATGCTAATTCGATTACTATACCCAGACAGCACAGAATATTTATAAAATATTTATAAAATATTTATAATAATTATTTTAATATTTTATAAATATATTTATCATAAATATTTTATAAATGTTTTTGGAATCTTAGATTCAATGATTTGTTAAACTACTGTGTTGCCTAAGTATTCAGTGTATATATTATAATTTTATATTGTATTTTAAAATAAATATCTAATGAGTTATTTATAAACAATTTTTACATATTTTTAATTTTTATAAATGTCTTAAAATTATTTCTGTTTTTAAGCTACATTCTGCAACAGAATGTCTTTTAACAAATAAATTTACATACACGTGTATCATGTACATCGATATATACATAAAGATTTATAGAATATCTCAAAAACTTGACATGATACGACATTTTCTGAGCCAAATTTGTAATCAGCGCATCAAAATCTACCAGAACCAGCTTTGTTTGCTTTAAGGCCAAAAAAAGTTGTATTTTTATCGACCAGTGTTATTTAATAAAGTAGGGCAAAAAACGCCAAGTTGTAGCGTATGTACTTAGTGGACGCGAATTAAGTGACACCCTGTATACCGCGCTTACCGTTTTTATAGTTCAATCAAAATTAAAATTTCCGAAAAGTGTATGTACATCATCGTTAAATAAGTATTCTTTAAAAATATTTATCGTGTTTAAAACACACAAACACACAGTGTCTTACAACTTTCGTATAAAACATTTTCTTCGAAACTAGTAGCGTGTAGTTTTCGTCAAATTAAGTTTTCAATATTTGTTCCACATCTTGCTTATATAGCTCTGTATATCTATATGCAAATGTATATACAAACGTAAGAGGCAGTTTTGCTGCAATTCATTATTATTATACAATTATTGAATACATATTGGCATATATATATAATAACTCATGATATATCAAAATAGCTCCATATTTTATTTTTAAAAAGAATTATGTAAAAAGAATTATCTTTTTACACAGCAATTGATTCCTCCCATTATGTTGTCACTACAATTATTAAAGCAAGATCATCAGAAAATGAATGTTTTACTAGATACTTCAGAAGTTATATAAAAATGATATCAAATTAAAGTATAAAATATCTCGTGAATAATTTACTTCTTGATCATCCAATTCTTTTAATTTTTTATATAGATTATTGTAAGAAATCGATTTAGAATATATATTAAAAAACTGTGATTCTATTTAAAAAATTCAAAATTATTTGAGCTGGCCTTGGCAATACCATCCAAAGTCCAAATGATGAGATCAGTAAATAAATATTTTCAAACCATTTCTGTCTAATGTTTCAGATAGAAATTGTTTTTTTTTTTTTTTTTTTTTATAAAATTTATCATTTTTCAAGATGTTCCGGGGTCTCGATCTTTGTCAATGATTAATTGAACACTCTATACGTATACATATACAAACATATTACATGTAAGAGAGATATGGAAAATAATATATATAATTAATCCTCTACAATTTCTTTTTAAAATACAATAATTTTAATAGAGTTTTACACTTTAGCTTGCAAAAATACTTTAATTATCCTATATTTTTTGAAAATTATAATTATATGCTTAATTAGATATAATTGGATTTATTTTAGATTTTATAATTATTCGTTATTATTATAATATAATTTTTATTCATATTTATGAGATATTGTATATCATCTTTTACATTTATATAGTTATTGTAAAACGCTACATTATTATGAAAATATCAAGAGACACGATATTGTGTGACGCCAAGTGCATGCATGAAAGATCAGGCCGACTGTGTATCTACCTATACGCGACATCCTCATTTCGCGAGTAGAACTTACAATTAGTTAAAAATTATTGATTTTTATATAAAAGCTACACAGATCGAATTTTTATATGTTTTAACCAGGGATTAAATTAATAACAAAAGTGATTTGTTATTTTATATTATACTCTCATTTTCGTTATTCTTTTTTCAGCCAGAAATAATAGAAAAAGCAGGTTACTCCACGGAAACTCACACTGTAATAACAGAAGATGGCTACATTTTGACGTTACATCGTATTCCAGGTGGCAACGGATCTCTACCTGTATTATTAGTACACGGTTCTTTTAACGACGACAGTGTTTGGATCACTCTTGGTAAAGGCAAAGCACTCGGTACGACTTTTTATATAATCATTGAAAGATATACCAGTAATGTTGATCAGATGATATCATTAATCTTTCTTTCAAGTAAAAAATATTGAAGAAAAAAATATTGAATTTAAATGACAAGGAACAAAAATATTTTAATGCACTTAGAATTGCGTTACATTTTTAGTTCATCTTATTTTTTAAAGTTTTTTAAAATTTAAAAGTTGAGTTTCAAAAATTTGTTACATAATAGGTATTTTATATACCTATGTATATTTTATATAGTTACATAATTTACATATATGATTATGATCAATTAAAATTAATATCAATCAAAATTAATATTTGTCGCTAGTGGTGAAAATAAGCTTAAACGACTTGACTACGACGTAACTAGCAATTTTATTTGATTATTTCACGACGTTTCGACCATTTGGTTGTGGTCCTTTTCAAGTGAAATTTCATCAATTAAACCGAGGTTAACATAACATCACACCGGTGTTATTTGAAATCGAAAGTTAAACGTTAAAAGAAGAACACGTCCCATCGTTATGATGTTAAAAGTTAAAACTTAAAAGAGGAACACGTCCCATCGTTATGATGTTTCGTCAAAAGACACTTTAGTCGTTGACGAAACATCATAACGATGGGACGTGTTCCTCTTTTAAGTTTTAACTTTTAACATCATAACGATGGGACGTGTTCCTCTTTTAACGTTTAACTTTCGATTTCAAATAACACCGGTATGATGTTATGTTAACCTCGGTTTAATTGATGAAATTTCACTTGAAAAGGACCACAACCAAATGGTCGAAACGTCGTGAAATAATCAAATATATGATTATATTTAGAATTGTAATTAGTGAATTATAAATCAGGTTACGGTGTTAATTTTGTTACAAAAATATTTTATTATAAAAATATGGTAAAAATATGGAATATGAAAAAAAGAAGGAAATCAAGTATTGCAAATATTTTTGCATTTTGTGTTCTAGCTTATTTATTAGCGGATCAGGGATACGATGTTTGGTTGGCTAATATGCGTGGAACTACTTATTCGAAAAAGCACATTACCTTATCATCATCAGATTGGAAATTTTGGGATTTTAGGTATTCCTAAAATAAAAAATAATAATTTTTAGAAAATAAAAAGTTTTTTCTCTGGTAAAGTTTTCGTAAATGCTTTATTATTAATACAAAAATTAAAAATTTTTGAAAACTTTATTTTAAAAAAATGTTGAGTTTTTCAACGAACAATATGAGAAGGACGTTAAATATATATATATATATATATATGTCTATATGACGCTGTATACATATATTATATAAATATCATTATATCCATTATATATGTTAATACATTATAATACATGCATAAAAATATCAGGTAAAATCATCAAAAATTGAATATTTTATGATATATTTCATAGTTTATATGTATATAAAAATTATGTCACATTAAAGACATTATAAAATATCTCAAAAACAATTAAATTTTCAGCCATCATATCATTATCACTATTTACGCATGATATTGTAAAATATTGATATTTTTAAATAAAAATATAATCTCATTTAAAAAATTCAAGTTGTTTTAGTATGATCTTAATAATATTTGCAAGGTTCAAACCGTTAAACCAAATAACTCTTAAATCAAAAAAGTTTGAAACACCAGTGATGCGATAAAAATTATTTATTTTTATTCATATATGACCAAACTGACTACATGGTTACATAAAGATAGATCACTACGTTTCAAACATTTATTTTCGTAAAATAATTGCTTTCTGAAATATTGAACAGTTCCGGATTTATCGTAAACTTTATATATATATAATTTTATATCACATACATATATTTATATCATATACTGAAACATATATACAAATGTGTGTGTATGTATATTTGAAGATTTTATGAAGATATATTGTATTTTTATCAGCTTTCACGAAGAAGGAATGTATGATGTACCCGCGATGATTACATATATCACGAATATGAGATCACAACCATTGCACGCGTACATTGGTCATTCCATGGGCACAAGTTCATTTTACGTAACGGCAACAGAGCGTCCAAAATTTGCTAGAATGGTAAAAATGATGATCAATTTTGGACCAGCAGTTTTCATAAATCATATGAGAAGTCCACTACGACCAGTACTTTATTTGATAAAAGAGTTTCAGGTAATAGTATAACATATGTGAAAATACTATTAGAAAATAAATTATATTGTAAAATAATTGTATAGAACATGATTTTTTTGTAAAAAAAAAATTTTTTCTCTCAATTTTACCTGTAAAACAGAAGAACATATTTCTCTAATATTCTCTTAAACACTGTAGTATACCGTATAAAGTAAAAATGTTTTTCTCTAGTATGAATATTGAAACACCAATAAATATAGAATGTTATAGCTTACAATATGTTTTAAAAGTTGATGTTAGAAATTATAAAAAAGTATGAAAAATAATTTGTTTTGTTGTTACAAACTAATGCATAAACAGCACAACATTTTATATATCTTGTTTAAGATTTTTAAAATACTTTATAAAGTGGCTCGTTGCCGTTGATTGCTACTGTTGTTAAGAACTAATTTGTTACAATTATTGTTAATATTATAATTTCTTTAAAAAAATCTTAAATTTTTTGTTCTTGAAAAATACACTAAAAATTTGAATGAGTATAGATTTACGAGTAAATTATCATCATGTAATAAAGACATTTTTGATTGCAGTCATTATTGCGAGTTTTATTCCATGACGAATTATTCCCGCAAGAGTTTTATAACACATTAAAGACGTTACTCGGGTGCAACTTGAATTTTTACCGAGCAGAGATGTGCGCTAAAAATTTATTATTTAATCCCCTCGGTTACGACCCGGAGCAGTTAAATTTAGTGAGTAATAATTCTTCTACAAATTATAATAATAAATTAAAAAGGCTCTAATATACAAATACAAAATAGGATGTAAAAATGGCTAATAAAAATCCAGTGCTTATATTAAACACAACAAACTTGTTTCTATATTCTTTATTAATTATTTTACACAAAAACTATTATATTATTTTTCTTTACTGGCTTTGTATTTCTTTTTTAATCTTGTATGAAGGTAACTACGGCATAATTTAAAAATTATTTATTTATTGTGTAAAATATTATAAAATTATATTAAAAATTAGAATATATTATAATATGATATTAGAGAAAAAGAGAGAGAAAGAAACAGAAAAAAGGAAAGAAAATTTATATATTATTATTTAATTATATTAAAATACTAGCTTTTCGGACCGCGCTTCGCGCGGTTCTCAAAGCCATTCTATTCGGACCGCGCTCCGCGCGGTCCTCATATAGCCTATATTAAATCCGTTTTAACACAACAAATTAATTCTTTTTTTGTATTACCGCGAACTACTTCCACATTTGTTGTTTGTCAAAATGTTATGTATAAAATATCTGGGAGAAAGAAATAGATAACATAGTAGTCATCCATAAAAATTTAAACATTTATTTTGGTTAATATATACTTTAAATATTTTTTTATTACTTAATTATTATATCCTTTTTTACATTTTACTCAATTATTTTTTATTTCTAATGTACCCACCGCTAACCCGCTATTATTAGCTCTCATACAATTTCATAATTCTTCAATTTACAAAATTTCCCTGTATATTACATTTTTTGTAAAACATTTTTCACTTTCTTCAATTAAATGTCCTTGATTGCTACATTCATCAATTTTAATTTTTACACTTTCTCTTTTTGTTGCTCTAGAAAATGCCACATAAAGTTGACCATGAGCAAATACAGGATGTGGCAAATAAATTCCAATTTTTTCTAAACTTTGTCCTTGTGATTTATTTATTGTCATAGCAAATGACACTCGAATAGGAAACTGTCTTCGTTTAAACTTAAATGGCAGTTCCAAATCATTTGTAATTAAATCTATCCTCGGAATCATGACAATTTGTCCTCGAGCAGGACCTGTTATAACTTCTACATAAATTATATTATTTTTCAAATTAGTTACAATAAATCTTGTACCATTACAAAGTCCTTTTTTAGTATTTAAATTTCTTAATAAAATTACTGTAGCACCAACTTTTATTTTAAGCCGATGAACTGGCATTCCAGAAGGTGTTAGTGAGTTTAGAAACTCAGTTGGAAAATTTAATTGCTCCTGTGGATCATCACTTACAATACAGTCAATAGAGAGATACTCCTTTTCTTCTCCTTCCATTAGACAAAGAATTTCATCATTAATTTTGAAAGTATCCTCATTTTTAGGACAAAGAATCGCTCGATTCTGATTTTCTCTAATCCTTTTCATGGTAATTCTATCACCAAAAATCTCATTAATAAGAGATTCTTTTGATATAAAATCTTGTGGAATTTCAATCGTGTCTAAATTTAGTCCATCTGTATTTGATAATTTACCATCTCCGAGTTGCATTAACCAATTTGCAAATTCTTTTTCTTCCGCAGTTCTCATATTTTGCTGTAATTTAACCTTAATTACATTCCTCCATATAGGGTTGTATTTTACAGTCGATTCAATTATCGCTGTTTTGTGTACATGAGGTACTACTGGAAGATTTTGTCTGAAATCTCCTGCAAATAAAATTACTTTTCCTCCAAATGGTTGATGATTCTTCATTAAATCCTTGAAAAGTTTATCAACTGCTGTTAAGGCATGTCCAACAGTCATGCTTACTTCATCCCATATGATTAATTTGGCATTGATCAATTCTCGTGCAGCTTGAGAATTTCCTCTAATATTTGATTTAGCTGCATCATCAATTGGAATTGTAAGCTTAAACAGAGAATGATAAGTTCTTCCTCCTTTCAGAAGTGTGGCTGCAATTCCAGTTGAAGCACATGGAAGAATTATTTCATTTCTTCCTCGAATAACACTTAGAAATGTATTAAATAGATAGGTTTTACCACTTCCTGCAAACCCGTCAATAAAAAACAAACGCTTAGGTTCATTTTCATTTTCAATTGCTCGCATTACTATATCATACACGTATTTTTGCTCATCATTTAGTGTAGATAATAAATAATCACCACGTATTTTTTCTTCATCTACATTATACTCTGTTTCATAAATATTTATTTCAGTTGGATTTGGTAATTGAAATTTCTCACAACTACTTCCATTATTTATCAGAATTTGTTGTATATGGTTTAACGCCATATTTTCGGGATTTACAACATTATTATTTACAAAGTCCTCAATCATAAAATCTTTGTATTTATTCCAAATTGTTGGTACATCTATTGGATTTCCAAAGATGCAAATGTAAGCAAATAATTCTCGAAGTTGTGCAGGCATATTCGATTCTGTTGCTTCCTCCATCGTTTTTCCCCAAAAGTCATCAGTTTCTACTAAATTTTTTGCAATTGCTGCATCCTTAAACGTATTATAAATAATTCCATTTACATTTCTCAAATCTTCAAAACATTTTGCTCCAGTCACATGTAGTAGAAGAAGACGGAGATAAAATCTTTCAATATCTTTTATGCTTACTGTATATAGTCTTGAAATTATTTTTTCACCACCTTTTTTACGTGGCTTCCACTTAGTTTCTTTTTTATTATAAACATAATGATAAGGAATATCTGTATAAAGATAATTTACTGCATTTTCATCATATTGATTTAATTTGAACCATGCAGTCAGCGTAGTATCTCGATTTAGCTCTCTTTGAGCAGCTTGTTCTTCATTTCCTGCTCGAAAATAAACCATTTGGCGATCAGGCAAATGAACTGCCAATCTTATTACTGTATGAGATTTCATGAACAGATCATATCCATTAAGTCTCCACATTGCTTCTGGAGCACTAACATATCTTGCATCCAGGAATGAGTTAACCTCATCTACTCTAATGAATTTTGTACCATCTCGTGCTTGCACTTCAATTGCAGCACAATCAAATCCTTTATGAATATATTTATATAGATATTTTACGCTCTTCACTGATGAACATATTTCTAAATTAATATGTCGATTATATTTCATGATTAAATATGGTGAATACGGCACCACCCATCGATTATCCACTTCTTTATTTCTAACGATGTATTTTATTCCAATATTCCTACGTTGATAGATGGGATATCCATTTACATTAGCATTAGTTTTATCACAAAATTCTTTTGGAAAACCTTTTGAACATTTTCCATCGTCCCCAGTGCAAGGATATCTCCTCGACGGATCTCCACATGGACCGTGAATCATGTGTTTCAAAACTTTTTCATTAAGTTCTGAATATTTTTCTTCATTAGGAATTTCAGCCCATACCATCATATCAATGACTTCTTGAAGTCGGGGCTTATCTTCATCGCTCAACATTGCAAGTAAATGCAAATGTGGAAGTCCTCTTTTTTGAAATTCAATCACACCTGCATAAGCTATAATATTTCCAAAAATTTTATTTTGAATTAAATCTTTTAAAATCTCTTTGACATCCAAATTAAATGTTTTAGCGACTAAATCAGGTCGAAACTCTATTTGACATCCATCAAGATTATCCTTAATTTCAGGACATTGAGGATTGCAAGTCATGGTTAAAAAAATGTCTGGTTTACCATACTTTCTTACCAAAGACATGGCATCTTGGTATCTTTCTTGCATGTTCCTTAGACTGCCCATAAATGAAGATGGTAATATTACAGGTACACCAACTGTAATTCCCTTATTTTGTGCTCGATTATCAAGGTGATCCATTAATCCTGAATAAAGTTCTGCTCTTAATTGAGGTTGATTTAATTTAATATAATTAAGTCTATTGGCTTCAGTTTTCATATAGGCATCAAGTATAAATTGACATCTCAATTTGCCTGCTCTTTTAAATTGGCTAAATTCGGCTCTTGGTGCCAATAGATGAGCATAATAATCCATTTGAGTTACTTTAAATCCTGAATATTTATAATTATAAGATTTCATTTCTGAATGCCATCCATCGTTACCATATGGATATAACAAAGGATAACACATTGGGTCACACCTTTTGTCCAGAATTGATATTTGTTGAACATCGTTTGAATTTTTATTATAAATCCGAATGTCTCTTTCAAATGGAGGCTCACCATCTACATTCTGAAAGACCACAGCTATTTCATTAGCTTGTGGAGCATTATATCTTCTTTGATCATGTTGAGGATCGTTTCGAAAGGACAACATTAAATTTATATTTTTATTCCCTATCGGATTAAGATCTTGTTCAACTTGACGCATCATCTTGAAAGTCTTTGCAAATTCATTGCATTCAACCATAAAACTTGACAAATTTTTCATTATTTCAAAATCACACTCTTGATTAGCTTTCTTATTCATTCTATGATTTATAGCTTCTTCTATATCTAAAAAGTAAAGCTGCGCAAAGCGCGGAGCTTGCCCATCTGCTGGGCGCATTGCTGTCGAAGTCAAATGATGATATTGCCCATGAATCTTTAAGCAATAAGGAGCATTGCTCACAACATCCAATGGATTTCTATTGCCCGGGGCACCCATAGAAGCCATAGCTAAAGCGCTATTATATGAACGAATATTATGAAGGAAATTTTTCGATGCATAATCATTTCCCATGTATAATTTTTTAATAAAATCAGGACAATTTATTGACTTTAATGTAAGCTTACCCTTTTGACAACAATATGTAAATTTCCCATCTTTAGGTTTTTCACATTCAAAATTTAACGATTTGCAAAATTGGCATTCTATATTCATTTGGCCAAGTGTATGAACTGACACATTTATTTCATTGCCCTTAGCAATTAGCGCAATATGATGATTTAATTGTCTAGCTTGTTGCCTTTCCTGAGCATGTCTTTGGGCATCAGCTTCGAGTCGTGAAGGAAATGTATGTATAAGATAAGAATATTGAATTTAAATGTTACTATGGTCAAGGCATACAAATTAAAGGTTTATTTACACGAATTGCACACATAATCACAAACACGTACACAAATTTTTTAAAAATTACTTCTTGGTATGACCAAGTCAATAAATGCGTATGCACATGGGTGCGTGGGTGGATGAATAGGATGATAAAAATTTGTTAAAATTATAGTAGCCATCCCCAACAAAATTTGAATACAAATTACGAAAAAGTCTGTGAATAAATGTGTGAATGCGTGGGTGGATGCGTGGGCGGGATAAAACTTTAAAAAACCACACAACAGCTTTCTCATAAAAATTTGCAACATTTTTGTACCAATTTCGTAAAAATTTGTCCATAAATGCGCACGCGCGTGGGTGAATGCGTGGGTGGAGGTGTAACACTTGAAAAAACCACATCTTCTTCATCTTCAAAAAATTTGCAACATTTTAGTACCAATTTAAAAAAATCGGTTCATAAATATACGATTGCGTGGGTGGGTGCGTGGGTGGAGGGGTAAACTTAAAAAAATAAACCAGTAGTTTTCTCAAAAAAATTTGCAACATTTTGGTACTAATTTCGTTAAAATTGGTCCATAAATGCGCATGCGCGTGGGTGGATGCGTGGGTGGGTGCGTGGATGGAAGTGTAACACTTAAAAAAACCGCATCGTCGCTATCTCCAAAAAAATTTGCAACATTTTGATACCATGTGTTCAGAAATATTGCAAAAAAAGATTAAACATACCCTCCTCTGTAGAAAAAAAAAAATTAAAAAATTAAAAAAAAACCCCACAGCAAAATTTGCAACATTTTGGTACCAGTTTCACGAAAATCGGTCCACAAATGCGAAAGTAGTTCGCGTACATACATACAGACAGACGGTGCTTTTGGTCCATAAATGCGCACGCGCGTGGGTGAATGCGTGGGTGGAGGTGTAACACTTGAAAAAACCACATCGTCTTCATCTTCAAAAAATTTGCAACATTTTAGTACCAATTTTAAAAAAATCGGTTCATAAATATACGATTGCGTGGGTGGGTGCGTGGGTGGAGGGGTAAACTTAAAAAAATAAACCAGTAGTTTTCTCAAAAAAATTTGCAACATTTTGGTACTAATTTCGTTAAAATTGGTCCATAAATGCGCATGCGCGTGGGTGGATGCGTGGGTGGGTGCGTGGGTGGAGGTGTAACACTTAAAAAAACCGCATCGTCGCTATCTCCAAAAAAATTTGCAACATTTTGATACCATGTGTTCAGAAATATTGCAAAAAAAGATTAAACATACCCTCCTCTGTAAAAAAAAAAAAAAATTAAAAAATTTAAAAAAAAAACCCCACAGCAGCCACCCCCGAAAAATTTGCGACATTTTGGTACCAGTTTCACGAAAATCGGTCCACAAATGCGGAAGTAGTTCGCGTACATACATACAGACAGACGGTGCTTATATATAAAGATGTGATATAATAAAAGGCCAACTTAACGAGCTTATATGCTAATAATTGAAAAATTTTTATTTATTAATTTACGTCATACTATACAAAAGTTACGATAAACGTTTCGACTGTACGACAGTCTTTCTCAATATCTTAATAATATGTTAAAAAATTAATTTAGTCATTTCGACATCATAAATAAATACAACAATTATAAGATATATATGACGAACGCAGTACAAAATTCATGATTGTTGGCATGAGTTAGAGCGTCAGATGCTGTTATATTATGTAACGACACTGTGAACAAATTAATATATCCGCTCAAATATTACAATACATTTAGATTTTTAATAAATAGTATTAACTTACTTTTTTGTCAACGAACATAACACCTTTGTTAAAAAATTATTTCTTTTTACTTAACATAATCACAATGTGTACTTTTTTAAAAAACAAATCGATATCTGTATCTTACAATGTCGGCGCGCTGTATATATACCCAATTTTTAAGATGACGTAGACAATTTTTTTAGAATATCATAATAAGAACCGTCAAGACGCTCGGTGTCCTTTTTTAGGTTGATACTGTTGTTTTCTTCTTTAATATATATCATTTCTGATATCAACCTTTTATAATAATTCTTTTCATAATCTAGGATTTTTGTGTCGTTCCAATTGAAATTGTGTGTAAATTTTACAATATGATCAGAAACCACCGAGTGCCTTGCTGAATCTAATCTAATATTATTTTTATGTTCATTTACTCTTGTACCTAATTGTCTTTTCGTCTGTCCTACATATGTAGCATCACAATTATTACACGAAATCTTATATATGACCCCCGAATTATTTTGGAGCTTATCTCTGTCTTTTTGCGTTTTTATGACTCTGTTTAATTTCTTTAGACATCTGTATCCTACTGTTATATTTGATTTCTTTAATTCCGATGCTACTAGTTCCGAGATTCTTTCAATATAAGGTATCGCTATGAATTTTTTATTATTGTCATTATTTATGATTTCGTTATTTATATCTTGAGTCATTTCTTTGTTTAATCTATTAACAATAAGGAACTTCAGTCTATTATTGATTTCTGAGAAAATGAGATCAAGAGGATAACTATTGCTCAATAAAATCTCTATGATTAATGTTAAATTTTTACTATGAAAACGGGGATGTGATAATAATATTGACCGGTCTACTAAATTATATATTACACTTTTTTTGTGGCATATAGGATGATTTGAATAATATGAGAGTGTTCTACCCGAAAATGTTTTTTTCTGAAACCAATCTATGTATATTATGTTATTTATAATTTTGAGTGAGATATCTAAAAAACTTATGCTACGGTTATCCTCTCTTTCTATTGTGAATTTTAATCTATCGTGACAATCATTAAATTTTTCTACTAGATATGTGACTTGATCTTCCGGCAAGCAAAGCAAGATATCATCGACGTAGCGATAGTAAAACCTTATATTAACCTTTATAGTTTCAAGAATCCTAGTTTCTATATCTTGCATGACAATATCAGCAATAATTGGAGATAAAGGCGATCCCATAGGAGATAATATTAGATTAGATTCAGCAAGGCACTCGGTGGTTTCTGATCATATTGTAAAATTTACACACAATTTCAATTGGAACGACACAAAAATCCTAGATTATGAAAAGAATTATTATAAAAGGTTGATATCAGAAATGATATATATTAAAGAAGAAAACAACAGTATCAACCTAAAAAAGGACACCGAGCGTCTTGACGGTTCTTATTATGATATTCTAAAAAAATTGTCTACGTCATCTTAAAAATTGGGTATATATACAGCGCGCCGACATTGTAAGATACAGATATCAATTTGTTTTTTAAAAAAGTACACATTGTGATTATGTTAAGTAAAAAGAAATATTTTTTTAACAAAGGTGTTATGTTCGTTGACAAAAAAGTAAGTTAATACTATTTATTAAAAATCTAAATGTATTGTAATATTTGAGCGGATATATTAATTTGTTCACAGTGTCGTTACATAATATAACAGCATCTGACGCTCTAACTCATGCCAACAATCATGAATTTTGTACTGCGTTCGTCATATATATCTTATAATTGTTGTATTTATTTATGATGTCGAAATGACTAAATTAATTTTTTAACATATTATTAAGATATTGAGAAAGACTGTCGTACAGTCGAAACGTTTATCGTAACTTTTGTATAGTATGACGTAAATTAATAAATAAAAATTTTTCAATTATTAGCATATAAGCTCGTTAAGTTGGCCTTTTATTATATCACATATTTTAATTGTATACGAGCCGAAGTTTAATTTATAAAATATATATATTTAATTATATTATATAAAATAATTGGAGAAGATTGTACAGACAAGTTTGTCGCGCATAATATCTGCGCCTGATTTTTATTAATTGTTTTCATACCTAATCTTCCGTAAAATGTCGCGATGAAAGAATATATAATAATAATCCTTTTTAGACTCAACTGCCCTTCATCGTGAGTCATATACCCGTCGCCGTCTCACTTAAGACTGTGATTCACATCGTTCAAATGATTGAATCGGGTACGCCTCGTCCATTTGACTACGGTGCAGCGAAAAATTTCTTGGTATATAAATCGGTGGAACCTCCAGAGTACAATCAATCGAGTATCGCGAATATACCGACAGCGATATACTACGGCGACAATGACTTGTTTATAAGTCCCATTGTAAGTAATGAAAAAAGTATTTATTTATTGATAAATAGTATAGAAATTATAAGATTTTACAGTAGTGATTGTGACTTAACTTTGTATATATGTAGATAAAATTTTGTATTTTTATAATCGAGAATATAACAAAAAAATTATAGTGCATGATAACTCAAAAAATGTTTCTTCAAGGATGTGAAGATGCTGTACGATATACTACCTAACGTAATAGATATGTACGAAGTGCCATGGCCCAATTTTAATCATCTGGACTTTGTATTTGGTAATGATGCGCCAAAGCTTTTGTACGAAAGAGTTTTGAAGATCATGAAAGAGAAGTATTCAAACAATGTACTAACAGTATGATAATAAAATATATTGATGATCTGAATATTGCACATTAAACTCTGTAATAACGAACACGATTGATGTTATTTGCTTTAATTTCAATTAAGCAAGCTTATAATATAATTTAGCATTATTTAGAATTAATACTTGCGAAGTAACAATAACAATTTATTAATTTCTTAATTTTTGTAACATGTTATATATAGTTCATAAATTACGTATAACAAAATGTATATATTTTTTCAAAACTTTTTTATATTAAAATCTAATAAGAATTTTGATATTAATATCTATATTAATACAAAATACTAAATAATATTTATATAATAGATAATAATATTATATTCAATATTTTAAATATGTAAATAAAAAAACTTTGAAATGTAAAGTTTATTATATTTATTATATTTAATATTATTATATTTATTATTTTAAATATGTAAATAAAAAAACTTTGAAATATAAAGTTTCCATATTTTTGCGTATTAATAATCACGTTTAGCTCTTAATTAGCCCGTTTTTCTTCATATTATAATTAATATTTTAAGTTCATATTAATTATATATTAATATTAATATATATAATTAATTATATTAATATTAATTAATATTAAGAGAAATATTGAAAAGGAGAAAGTATACTAAATCATATCCTCTAAAGTAAATTTTAAACTGGTTTTTTTTAGTTATTTCTAACTATGTTTTTTTGTCAACAATATATGCTAAATATTAACACAAATTTATCATTTACCTTTCATACATATACAAAGAATTTTTATATTATATCTTCATATATCAATATATGAATTTCTAGTAACAATGTCCAACTGTGGAATCTGAATGCGACCAATAATGAAATGTATTTTCTCTTTTCGCTTTTCTATAACAATCTTTTTTTCTATTATAATAAGATCTTCCATTAATATCACAATGACAATTCATCAGTGCAGCATTAATAAATAGTGTGTAAAATGCAGTTTTGGGAATTATTCATTTCGTTCTCGTCTTTTTTCCCTGTGTTCGAATATGTCCCGATATCTTAGAAGATTTTTCGAGTTATGCATTTTTTCACTGTTTATTTATTAAACTAGACGATCTTTGATATCGTTTCTATTGTTTATTTTACAACTGGCAAATTTTTAATCTTCGCAATGACAGTTGCTTAATGCTATGACTATAATTTTAATTCGCTGAATTTCTGTTATATACATAATTTTAATTTATTAAATTTCTACAATATTATGTACATAATTTTAATTTGCCAAATTTCTATTATATTGTTTGAAAACTATTTTGTATTGATATATGTATATCTTTATATATTTTTTTCTCATTTTGTTTAGTTTAATTGAATATAATTACGTGTGCGAAGCAAAATTATATTATTCTTTTATAATAAAACTTTAAAAATTGCAACGCTTGTATAAAATTATTATTGCAATGCATATGCATAAAAATATGTTTATTAATTACGTGATTCATAAATATATTTTTATGCATGCATTGCAATAATAATTTACAGGTATTAAACAATTGTAATAAATTGCCAGTTTGGTCGACTTGCTCATTAGATATTTGTTTTAATTATTACTGGCGACCTTTTGAAGAATTTATTTATTAAATAAATTTTTCTACAAGAATCTTTTGTGATCAAATATCTACACTTTCATTAGACTTGCGCGAGACTCCATACCCCATATGTCCGTCACGCTGCGTGGTTCGCGCGAGACTGATTCTCGTGCGAGATATCGGCAAACGCGGGATCCCGCATTACAGGAGAATCAGTCTCGCGAATTTCTTCAATTCTGTCAAAAAATAATTGAAAAATGCGATCTAAATTTCGCACAATTTCATATACATTATAATTAATTACATGTATAATGTAATATTTGTTTTTTAGGGTTTTTTTCATATTTAATTTTTATCGCGGTATCAATTAGTGTAAAAACAAGCGTGGTTGTTTTTAAAAAATATGTACTTGATAGTTGCAAATTACATACTTTTTCTTAAAAACAACTGTGCTTTTGGTACACCAATTAATTGCTGTCATCAATTTGTACATAAAAGTATTGAGATAAGATCATCGAAAAAGGAATATTTTACAAGATATTTTGTAATTTATGTAAAATTTTAACACCAAAGTACAAAATATCTCATAAATTATTCATTTTTTTATTATATCCTACCCTTATAACTTTTTATGCCAAATAAAATAATGGTTCCATATAAAAAAATAAAATGTTGGTCTTAATATAATAACCCTGTGTACTTTGATTAAAGATCAAATAAAGATCATTATCAGATGATTCCCTCAACATCAAATAATTTTTGTTGATAACATTTTTTTAAATGTCTAATTTGATAATACTATATAGTACTATATGAAACATTCTACGTCAAATCCCCTTGCCTAGAATTGTATTGAAGTCTAACTTGTGATTATATAAGATAACAAAATTTAGCTTAAAGCTTCTATGTTTCGATGCAGTTCAATGATTTTGAAAAAAATTTAAAGTAGAGATTTTGAATTCAATAATAAGTACTATCTTATAAAAACTCTACTATTTTTTGCAGATGAAGTGCAAAAGTCAAGTTTTCAATATACTTTTATTCGCTGAATCAGAATCTGTAAAAAAATAAAAATAAAATAAATAAATAATTAAATAAATTATATGTAAATTTAATAAGGAAAACAATTAGATATTTAAAGACAAGGCTCGTGTGATATTATAAAATTAAGATTTAGAAAGACAGGGCCAACTATAACGAGCATATTAAAATATGTGATATAATAAAAGGCCAACTTAACGAGCTTATATGCTAATAATTGAAAAATTTTTATTTATTAATTTACGTCATACTATACAAAAGTTACGATAAACGTTTCGACTGTACGACAGTCTTTCTCAATATCTTAATAATATGTTAAAAATTAATTTAGTCATTTCGACATCATAAATAAATACAACAATTATAAGATATATATGACGAACGCAGTACAAAATTCATGATTGTTGGCATGAGTTAGAGCGTCAGATGCTGTTATATTATGTAACGACACTGTGAACAAATTAATATATCCGCTCAAATATTACAATACATTTAGATTTTTAATAAATAGTATTAACTTATAAATATAAATTTAACATATATAAGATAGGCAATAAGAGCCAAATCGCGGATGACAGTGCGTTATTCTAAACGAAACTAAATTTTTTCGTTAGAATTAAATACCTGTGCACAAGGCACCAAATTTTTACTTGGACACGGCCAAGATATAAAATTGGAATAATCTCTACAAGAGATTTTTAATTCCATGTATCCCCTATTCCCCCTAAAGAATTAAAGTGCGAGAGAAAAATATAGATCCGAAAGTCGCAGAATCGGGAATCGAACCCGAGACCTTTCGCTTGCCGGGCGACTGCTCTTCCAACTGAGCTATTCAGATCCTTTCGATTCTATACTTTTCTCTGTTATATATATTAATGTTGGTAAATAAACGCCTTTAAGCCAGCGTGTATAAATTAAGAGTTTAACTAGGCTCTGTAATATATAAATATAAATTTAACATATATAAGATAGGCAATAAGAGCCAAATCGCGGATGACAGTGCGTTATTCTAAACGAAACTAAATTTTTTCGTTAGAATTAAATACCTGTGCACAAGGCACCAAATTTTTACTTGGAGTTGTAGTATTAACTTACTTTTTTGTCAACGAACATAACACCTTTGTTAAAAAATTATTTCTTTTTACTTAACATAATCACAATGTGTACTTTTTTAAAAAACAAATCGATATCTGTATCTTACAATGTCGGCGCGCTGTATATATACCCAATTTTTAAGATGACGTAGACAATTTTTTTAGAATATCATAATAAGAACCGTCAAGACGCTCGGTGTCCTTTTTTAGGTTGATACTGTTGTTTTCTTCTTTAATATATATCATTTCTGATATCAACCTTTTATAATAATTCTTTTCATAATCTAGGATTTTTGTGTCGTTCCAATTGAAATTGTGTGTAAATTTTACAATATGATCAGAAACCACCGAGTGCCTTGCTGAATCTAATCTAATATTATTTTTATGTTCATTTACTCTTGTACCTAATTGTCTTTTCGTCTGTCCTACATATGTAGCATCACAATTATTACACGAAATCTTATATATGACCCCCGAATTATTTTGGAGCTTATCTCTGTCTTTTTGCGTTTTTATGACTCTGTTTAATTTCTTTAGACATCTGTATCCTACTGTTATATTTGATTTCTTTAATTCTGATGCTACTAGTTCCGAGATTCTTTCAATATAAGGTATCGCTATGAATTTTTTATTATTGTCATTATTTATGATTTCGTTATTTATATCTTGAGTCATTTCTTTGTTTAATCTATTAACAATAAGGAACTTCAGTCTATTATTGATTTCTGAGAAAATGAGATCAAGAGGATAACTATTGCTCAATAAAATCTCTATGATTAATGTTAAATTTTTACTATGAAAACGGGGATGTGATAATAATATTGACCGGTCTACTAAATTATATATTACACTTTTTTTGTGGCATATAGGATGATTTGAATGATATGAGAGTGTTCTACCCGAAAATGTTTTTTTCTGAAACCAATCTATGTATATTATGTTATTTATAATTTTGAGTGAGATATCTAAAAAACTTATGCTACGGTTATCCTCTCTTTCTATTGTGAATTTTAATCTATCGTGACAATCATTAAATTTTTCTACTAGATATGTGACTTGATCTTCCGGCAAGCACAGCAAGATATCATCGACGTAGCGATAGTAAAACCTTATATTAACCTTTATAGTTTCAAGAATCCTAGTTTCTATATCTTGCATGACAATATCAGCAATAATTGGAGATAAAGGCGATCCCATAGGAGTTCCATGTATTTGTTTATAGATCGTTTCGTTGAATGTGAAGTACGTTGAAGTCAAAATAAATTTAATTACATTAACAAACTTATTTTTGTCTATTGATGTGTGGTTTTCAATGTAATGCCATCTATTATTTATGCTGTCTATTGCAAGGTCCACAGGAACATTTGTGAACAACGATATCACATCCAAAGATACGATTGTTTCATTGTTATTTAATTTAAGATCAGACAAAGCGTTGCACAATTCAAAACTATTGTTAACATGACTTTTGCCTTTGGGTAAACTTGTCACTAAAATGTTGTGTAAATATGCAGCTAAATGATGTAGTGCTGTATTGACCGATGATACTATTACTCTGAATGGAACATTTTCCTTGTGAATTTTGGGCAAGCCATATGCTTTAGGAAGCACTGAATCACTGGAACTTAAACAATAATAGTCTTTTTTTGTGATCCATTCATTTTTTAACCATTGTTTTAAATTTTTGTTAAGGTCTTTTTCTATTTTTATTATTGGATTGTTTTTGATTGTCATATAATTATCTTTGTCATTTAATAATTCTTCAACTTTGTCTATATAAAATTCTTTGGTCATTGCTACGGTCGTGTTTCCCTTGTCTGCTCTTGTGAAAATGATGCTGGGATTTTGTTTACAAAATGTCATGGTTTTTTTGTACATAACAGTAAGTTTGTCGTTAATTATGTCTTTCCTAGTATTGTTGTTTAAAAAAACAAAGAACTGTGGAATAGCTATGTTTCTTATTGTCGTGAGATTAGTTATGTTATTCGAATTGCTTTCTATGTCTTTAATGAATTCATGGACAGCTGTCTTTTTATCAGTATTAATAGGAAGGCTAAATTCACTACCTAATTGCAATAAATTTGTGACATCAGTTGGAATATCTACATCAGTCAAATTAATAAACCATTTATCATTGGTTTGTTCTAATGGATTAATAGTTCTGTTTATAAAATTTGTTGCGTTAATGTGGTTATTAATATATTTATTATTTTGAGAGTTTACACTATTTTTCTCTAAACAAGAAAAAACTATGGGTTTAATATTATTGTAGTAATCCGATTCTTTTTTTTGCAATAACCAACAGAATTTTTTCTTATGTAAGTAATGTAAGTTTAAAATTTGTTTTTTGAATAATCTACTATGGTGGTTATAAATCTCTTGCCATACCTGGGATGGGATGTTGTTATTTAATCTTTGTGTAAAGTATCTTATGTTTTTGTTAAAATACCCTATTTGTCTGTGCAAGTCAAATATCTCTATGTTTAATATTTCCATTCTAAATTTATGCAACACAATTAAATTAGTGAGAGATGTAATGTCAACACATAATTGATTTATTTCTTAGTATATACAATAATAATAAAATTAATAAAACGTTTCGGCTGTTACCTCAGCCTTTTTCAGTAAATATAAAAACAATAAAAATTCTTTTAAGAAAAATTATGACATATTACGCATTAGAGTCTATTTTTTAATGAACATTTTGGTTTAATAAGTCGATGAATTTAAATTGGGTTACGCATATAACATTTATTAAATTAGATATTTTTTCTAATCGGCTAACCATTTTTTAGTTAAGATGGTAAGCTTTTTGATTATGTCAAAAAACATGTAAACGAGTTCCCTGTTGTTAGTAGAACAGGTTGACGGCCCATTCCACGTCATCAATTCTTTTGAACATTATTAGTTAAAATTATCGTCAGAACCGCTTGATATGAGAATTGAAAACAATTAGATGTTATCCAGCATCAAAAAGTTAGTCCCCATCATCAAGGATATTTCCGAGTAAGTTCGTCATTGCAGTACATTTCACCGTGATTGTTTAAATTTCTGACGATAATTTTAACTAATAATGTTCAAAAGAATTGATGACGTGGAATGGGCCGTCAACCTGTTCTACTAACAACAGGGAACTCGTTTACATGTTTTTTGACATAATCAAAAAGCTTACCATCTTAACTAAAAAATGGTTAGCCGATTAGAAAAAATATCTAATTTAATAAATGTTATATGCGTAACCCAATTTAAATTCATCGACTTATTAAACCAAAATGTTCATTAAAAAATAGACTCTAATGCGTAATATGTCATAATTTTGCTTAAAAGAATTTTTATTGTTTTTATATTTACTGAAGAAGGCTGAGGTAACAGCCGAAACGTTTTATTAATTTTATTATCATTGTATATACTAAGAAATAAATCAATTATGTGTTGACATTACATCTCTCACTAATTTAATATGCTCGTTATAGTTGGCCCTGTCTTTCTAAATCTTAATTTTAAATTATATGTATATTTTTCAAATAAATATTTAGTTATTATTGATTAGGTGTCCACTTTTAAAAGATGAAAATATTTTTGTTATTTCTAACAATATTTTCTTCTCTCCCCCCCATAACATTAATAGTTATTGTAATCTGCATAATTACACCATTTATCATTATCAGTTTTTTATTATATAATGTTTAACACTACTGCAGTAGAAGATTGAAGATTGATGTCACCTCGCGCATTTCTACTTCATTAAAAGCTCATTAAAAAACTGATATTGACAAATGATATAACTGTTCAGAATACAATAACTGATAAATGTTTACTGCACAGAATTATCGTAGTAAGAGAAAAAAAATATCCTTCAAAATATTTACATTAGTTTCATCTTTCAAAAGTACACATAATTCAGAAAATCCAATCGGACAAGTTTCGTCGAGATTCTACGGTGCCATGAAAATCTCTTAATCTATAATTCGATAGAATCTCCGGATTATATGATCTATCGAGTATTATGGTACCGATCGCGATATTCTATGCTAACAATGACGATGGTTGATCCTGTTATAAGTAATACAGGTAATCCCGTTGTAAAAAATGTACATTGACAAAAAGAGATTTATTAAAAAATATTATAATAGAAATTATTTAAATATTAATTATAGTGGAAATTTTGCTTTATATGGACCGAGGATGCGCCTACACTTGTGTACGAAAGAATTTTTTAAATCATGAGAGGGAAATATACAAACAATGTAACAACGATATGATAATAGGTACATTGGTGATCTAAATTATAGAAGTTAAATAAATAAATATACAAAGTAAAAAAAATAATAATAAACAAAGAAATATATATACATGAATAAATAATAAATAAATAAATAAATAATAAAATAAATAAATAAGTAAATAATTTAATTCAGTGATTTAAAATATTCAAAAATATTGTTAGCTAGTTGTCCACGCCTTTTGTATTATGTTATTATAATTTTAACAATTTATAAATTTTTTATACATATTGTATTATATATTAAACTATATATTATACACATTAAATTATATAATTATTATATCTTCATATAATGTATATGAAAAAATCTATTAACCTTTGTCAAACTGTTGATTCTATTGAACGTGGTCAGTAACGCAGTACAACCTTTGCTCTTTCTATCAATCAGTATGTAATTTATTTTTTTCTATTAGCATAATATCTCACGTCATCGATGTAACATTATAAATACAAATAGTGGACAGGATGTTAATGCGCTCAGTCTTTATTCATATTTACTCGCTTGTTTTCTGCCCTTCTTCTTCTTTGATAATACATATCCCGATACTCCAGAAAACTCTCTCGGGTTGTCCATTTTCATTTACTGTTTAGTATAGTTAATTATGGATGGAATAAGATTGATAGGGTTTATATGTTTGTTGTCGTTTTACCGTTGTCTTGATGGGGCGACCATCGGGCTAAACAAACTCGTGGAAACAATTCGATCTAGCTCGAACAATGAGCTCAATTCCAATAGAATTTTCAACACTGTAAGTACACACTTTAACTAATTACAATAAGGCTTAAAGTTTTCATTATTCCGATTAGTTGAATATCTTCAACGTTGTCAAAAATTGATTAAAAAGTGCAATCTTATACATGATGACACTTGATTCACGCTCACTATTTGTAAGTACATAGCGTTATTCCTTAACAAAAAATATTTTTTATACATTTTCTGTCTACATTTTTAATAAAGAAATAATTACACTGATCGACACCATTTTGGTCTTAAAGCAAATGAAGCAAATGTTTCTGGTAGATTTTGATGCGCTGATTACAAATGTGGCTCAGAAAATATATCATGTCAAGTTTTTGAGATATTCTAATTGGAAGGTGCAAAAATGAGATTTTAGACCTTTTTTAAAACAATATTTAAATATTTTCTTTCAACATTTGGATAGATAATATATTAAAGTGCTATTCTTAACCTTTACCACGCTTACTCGATTGCTATGATTCGAATCTGTTTTATCTTTTCAAGATATGTAAATCCTTGTATTTCCGCTACACGTATAGATATACCTTTATAAGTAACGTTTTTGCCTGGGATCAATAATAATCGTAAAAATTAGTAATTAGTTTTTCGACACTTAGCAACTAAGCACTATCAGCTGATGTGCATAAACAAATCGTTTTGTTGCCACTGCCAATGAGTTCGGAATTTATTAACAAATTCTCAAAGTTTCTCGCTTCATTCTTCAGAATTAAACTATTGGTTGTAAAAATTACATACTGCTGCTAATGTTAATTTAAACTACTTAAAAGTTTCTTCCTTGACATGAAAAATTAAGATAGTCGTTTGCTTTCGTAAAACAGAGATTTAAAAATAAGACACTTTTTAATTTTTATATCGATAACTATTCGTCAAATGAAAAAAGTCACTGCCAAGTGTCGAAAAACTAATTACTAATTTTTACAATTATTATTTGATCCCAGGCAAAATTGTTACTTATATTATTTGCTTATATTTTCATTCTCTACAACATCCTGTACGGTCCAAACTTATTTCAAATTCACCCTGTATAACACTTTAATATGCTATTTACCTAAATATTTTTAAAAAATTGTTAAAAATATTATAGGTCGTTGAAAATGGCCTAAAAGCTCATTTTTGCACCTTTAGATTAGAATATTTCAAAAACTTGACGTGATACGACATTTTCTGAGCCAGATTCGCAAATTAAAATCTACCAAACACAGCTTCGTTTGCTTTAGGGCTTAAAAAAAGTTGTATTCTTGTCGTCCAGTAAAAATCGCGTCCAATATGGACGCGGGGTCAGACACAAATGCGTAGTTACGCATCATATTTTTTGAAAAATTATACGCATACATTTACATCTACAAAATTTCCCAAACTTGTATATACATCATCGTTAAGTAAGTAGTCTTTAATAATATTTATTTATAAATATAAATTTAACATATATAAGATAGGCAATAAGAGCCAAATCGCGGATGACAGTGCGTTATTCTAAACGAAACTAAATTTTTTCGTTAGAATTAAATACCTGTGCACAAGGCACCAAATTTTTACTTGGACACGGCCAAGATATAAAATTGGAATAATCTCTACAAGAGATTTTTAATTCCATGTATCCCCTATTCCCCCTAAAGAAATAAAGTGCGAGAGAAAAATATAGATCCGAAAGTCGCAGAATCGGGAATCGAACCCGAGACCTTTCGCTTGCCGGGCGACTGCTCTTCCAACTGAGCTATTCAGATCCTTTCGATTCTATACTTTTCTCTGTTATATATATTAATGTTGGTAAATAAACGCCTTTAAGCCAGCGTGTATAAATTAAGAGTTTAACTAGGCTCTGTAATATATAAATATAAATTTAACATATATAAGATAGGCAATAAGAGCCAAATCGCGGATGACAGTGCGTTATTCTAAACGAAACTAAATTTTTTCGTTAGAATTAAATACCTGTGCACAAGGCACCAAATTTTTACTTGGACACGGCCAAGATATAAAATTGGAATAATCTCTACAAGAGATTTTTAATTCCATGTATCCCCTATTCCCCCTAAAGAAATAAAGTGCGAGAGAAAAATATAGATCCGAAAGTCGCAGAATCGGGAATCGAACCCGAGACCTTTCGCTTGCCGGGCGACTGCTCTTCCAACTGAGCTATTCAGATCCTTTCGATTCTATACTTTTCTCTGTTATATATATTAATGTTGGTAAATAAACGCCTTTAAGCCAGCGTGTATAAATTAAGAGTTTAACTAGGCTCTGTAATATATAAATATAAATTTAACATATATAAGATAGGCAATAAGAGCCAAATCGCGGATGACAGTGCGTTATTCTAAACGAAACTAAATTTTTTCGTTAGAATTAAATACCTGTGCACAAGGCACCAAATTTTTACTTGGACACGGCCAAGATATAACGGCGTTTATTTACCAACATTAATATATATAACAGAGAAAAGTATAGAATCGAAAGGATCTGAATAGCTCAGTTGGAAGAGCAGTCGCCCGGCAAGCGAAAGGTCTCGGGGTCGATTCCCGATTCTGCGACTTTCGGATCTATATTTTTCTCTCGCACTTTATTTCTTTAGGGGGAATAGGGGATACATGGAATTAAAAATCTCTTGTAGAGATTATTCCAATTTTATATCTTGGCCGTGTCCAAGTAAAAATTTGGTGCCTTGTGCACAGGTATTTAATTCTAACGAAAAAATTTAGTTTCGTTTAGAATAACGCACTGTCATCCGCGATTTGGCTCTTATTGCCTATCTTATATATGTTAAATTTATATTTATATATTACAGAGCCTAGTTAAACTCTTAATTTATACACGCTGGCTTAAAGGCGTTTATTTACCAACATTAATATATATAACAGAGAAAAGTATAGAATCGAAAGGATCTGAATAGCTCAGTTGGAAGAGCAGTCGCCCGGCAAGCGAAAGGTCTCGGGTTCGATTCCCGATTCTGCGACTTTCGGATCTATATTTTTCTCTCGCACTTTATTTCTTTAGGGGGAATAGGGGATACATGGAATTAAAAATCTCTTGTAGAGATTATTCCAATTTTATATCTTGGCCGTGTCCAAGTAAAAATTTGGTGCCTTGTGCACAGGTATTTAATTCTAACGAAAAAATTTAGTTTCGTTTAGAATAACGCACTGTCATCCGCGATTTGGCTCTTATTGCCTATCTTATATATGTTAAATTTATATTTATATATTACAGAGCCTAGTTAAACTCTTAATTTATACACGCTGGCTTAAAGGCGTTTATTTACCAACATTAATATATATAACAGAGAAAAGTATAGAATCGAAAGGATCTGAATAGCTCAGTTGGAAGAGCAGTCGCCCGGCAAGCGAAAGGTCTCGGGGTCGATTCCCGATTCTGCGACTTTCGGATCTATATTTTTCTCTCGCACTTTATTTCTTTAGGGGGAATAGGGGATACATGGAATTAAAAATCTCTTGTAGAGATTATTCCAATTTTATATCTTGGCCGTGTCCAAGTAAAAATTTGGTGCCTTGTGCACAGGTATTTAATTCTAACGAAAAAATTTAGTTTCGTTTAGAATAACGCACTGTCATCCGCGATTTGGCTCTTATTGCCTATCTTATATATGTTAAATTTATATTTATATATTACAGAGCCTAGTTAAACTCTTAATTTATACACGCTGGCTTAAAGGCGTTTATTTACCAACATTAATATATATAACAGAGAAAAGTATAGAATCGAAAGGATCTGAATAGCTCAGTTGGAAGAGCAGTCGCCCGGCAAGCGAAAGGTCTCGGGTTCGATTCCCGATTCTGCGACTTTCGGATCTATATTTTTCTCTCGCACTTTATTTCTTTAGGGGGAATAGGGGATACATGGAATTAAAAATCTCTTGTAGAGATTATTCCAATTTTATATCTTGGCCGTGTCCAAGTAAAAATTTGGTGCCTTGTGCACAGGTATTTAATTCTAACGAAAAAATTTAGTTTCGTTTAGAATAACGCACTGTCATCCGCGATTTGGCTCTTATTGCCTATCTTATATATGTTAAATTTATATTTATATATTACAGAGCCTAGTTAAACTCTTAATTTATACACGCTGGCTTAAAGGCGTTTATTTACCAACATTAATATATATAACAGAGAAAAGTATAGAATCGAAAGGATCTGAATAGCTCAGTTGGAAGAGCAGTCGCCCGGCAAGCGAAAGGTCTCGGGTTCGATTCCCGATTCTGCGACTTTCGGATCTATATTTTTCTCTCGCACTTTATTTCTTTAGGGGGAATAGGGGATACATGGAATTAAAAATCTCTTGTAGAGATTATTCCAATTTTATATCTTGGCCGTGTCCAAGTAAAAATTTGGTGCCTTGTGCACAAGTATTTAATTCTAACGAAAAAATTTAGTTTCGTTTAGAATAACGCACTGTCATCCGCGATTTGGCTCTTATTGCCTATCTTATATATGTTAAATTTATATTTATATATTACAGAGCCTAGTTAAACTCTTAATTTATACACGCTGGCTTAAAGGCGTTTATTTACCAACATTAATATATATAACAGAGAAAAGTATAGAATCGAAAGGATCTGAATAGCTCAGTTGGAAGAGCAGTCGCCCGGCAAGCGAAAGGTCTCGGGTTCGATTCCCGATTCTGCGACTTTCGGATCTATATTTTTCTCTCGCACTTTATTTCTTTAGGGGGAATAGGGGATACATGGAATTAAAAATCTCTTGTAGAGATTATTCCAATTTTATATCTTGGCCGTGTCCAAGTAAAAATTTGGTGCCTTGTGCACAGGTATTTAATTCTAACGAAAAAATTTAGTTTCGTTTAGAATAACGCACTGTCATCCGCGATTTGGCTCTTATTGCCTATCTTATATATGTTAAATTTATATTTATATATTACAGAGCCTAGTTAAACTCTTAATTTATACACGCTGGCTTAAAGGCGTTTATTTACCAACATTAATATATATAACAGAGAAAAGTATAGAATCGAAAGGATCTGAATAGCTCAGTTGGAAGAGCAGTCGCCCGGCAAGCGAAAGGTCTCGGGTTCGATTCCCGATTCTGCGACTTTCGGATCTATATTTTTCTCTCGCACTTTATTTCTTTAGGGGGAATAGGGGATACATGGAATTAAAAATCTCTTGTAGAGATTATTCCAATTTTATATCTTGGCCGTGTCCAAGTAAAAATTTGGTGCCTTGTGCACAGGTATTTAATTCTAACGAAAAAATTTAGTTTCGTTTAGAATAACGCACTGTCATCCGCGATTTGGCTCTTATTGCCTATCTTATATATGTTAAATTTATATTTATATATTACAGAGCCTAGTTAAACTCTTAATATTTATTTATTTATTTTTTATGCAGATTATTGTTAAGAATCAATTTAAAAAATATATTAAAAAATACTGTGGTTACATTTAAAAAATTCAAGATTATTTTTCTTGGCCTTGGCAATATCATTCAAAGTCCAAATGATGAGATCAGTAAATATTTTCAAACAATTTCTATCTGAAACATTTTTTATAAAAACTTAAAATTTTTCAAGATGTTCCGGGGTTTCGAACTTTGTGAATGATTAATTGAACACTCTATCAGTGTCTACACAAACATTATTAGATACATACATATTATATATTAGAGAGATATGGACAACAATATATAATCCTCTACAATTTTTTCTAAAATAATTTTAATTGACTTCTACACTTTACCTCGCAAAAATATTTTAATTATTTTATATTTTTTGAAAATTATAATTATATGCTTAATTAGATGTCATTAATGTTTATTTGATTTTATTTTAAATTTTATTATTTTTATCATGTAATTATTATCATAGTATTACCCTATATATTATTATATATTGTATATGATCTTTATATTTATATTGTTATTGTAAAACGCTACATTATTAAGAAAATATCAAGAGATACTGTAGTGTCTAGCTCCAAGTAAATGCATGAAGGGCCAGACCGACCGTGTATTTATACGCGACATCCTCATTTTTTTCGCGAGTACTTGATTATTGGTTTTCATATAAAGGCTACACAAGTAAATTTTATAGGTTTTAATGCATAGCCAGGGATTGAATTAATAATACACAAAAGTGTTTGTTATTTTATATTATACTCTCATTTTCGTTATTCTTTTTTCAGCCAGAGATAATAGAAAAAGCAGGTTACTCCACGGAAACTCACACTGTAATAACAGAAGATGGCTATATTTTGACGTTACATCGTATCCCAGGTGGCAATGCATCTCTACCTGTATTACTGGTACATGGTGCTTTTAACGACGACAGTGTTTGGATCACTCTTGGTAAAGGCAAAGCACTCGGTACGACTTTTTATATAATCATTGAAAGATATACCAGTAATGTTAATCACATCATATCGTTAATCTTTCTTTCAAGTAAAAAATATTGAAGAAAAAAATATTGAATTTAAATGGCAAGAAACAAAAATATTTTAATGCACTTAGAATTGCGTTACAATTTTAGTTTATCTTATTTTTTGAAATTTTTTGGAATTTAAAAGTTGAGTTTTGAGAGAGAGAGAAATTTTGTTACATACAGATGTATATCTGTATACAGATATATATATGTATATATATATATATATATATATATATATATATATATCTGAAATAGTTTTATAACAAAATTAACACCGTAACTTGATTTATAATTCACTAATTACAATTCTAAATATAATCGTATATGTAAATTATGTAATATATAAAATACACACACACACACATATATACATACATGTGTGTGTGTGTATTTTATATATTTATATAATTTACATATACGATTATATTTAGAATTGTAATTAGTGAATTATAAATCAAGTTACGGTGTTAATTTGTTATAAAACTATTTTATAGTAAAAATATGATAAAAATATGGAATATGAAAAAAAAAGGAAATCAAGTATTGCAAATATTTTTACATTTTATGTTCTAGCTTATTTATTAGCGGATCAGGGGTATGATGTTTGGTTGGCTAATATGCGTGGTACTACTTATTCTAGAAAGCACATTTCTCTATCAACATCAGATTGGAAATTTTGGGATTTTAGGTACTCTTTTTTAAAATAAAAAAAAAATAAAGTGATAAATATAAGGCCAACTTATCGAGCTGAATATTCGAGATGTTCAGTCAACTACCATTTATTACATGTATAAATTATAAAACTACAGTCATTATATTAAAACTAACGCAAATTACAATCATTCTATAAACGTTTCGACCGCACGCGGTCTTCTTCAGTATAATTATTGAAATATAAATTCTTACAATTCACATAATATCGAAATTTAATTATAGTTATTCAGAATCAAGAGTTTTTGAGCAATTAACGCGTGTTTCAATCCGTCCTGTCCAACAATGTTCGCCTCGATATGATCCCTGATTTTGTTCAGATCTCGGATAGTTTCATCGTTAATATGCGAGAAATTAACCCGTTCCGTAGGCGCTGCGATTAATAAAAAATTACCGATCAACGTATGTCCAAATTATAATATGTATCCCCTACAATTGGTAGTATGCTTACCTATCATCGTTTTCTTTGACAATTTTGCTACTTATTAACAGTTATTAAGGATGACACATAACAAACCAACAATACAGAAAGACAGCTCATTTTAAACTCTACTTGATCGGAGAGCGTGCGTGTTTATATATGATCTAATATCTATTTTTACTCGTTAATGTCCTATTTGTCCTATTATTATTTCTTGTTCGCTAATATATCCAAAATATCAAAATACGACTCGCTAAGTAACTCAGTATCTTTGTTTAAATTTAGTCCATTTTTTTGTTCCTTGATATGTAGCATCTCAGAAATGAGTCTTTTATAATAATTATTTTCGTTGTCCATGATCTTAACATTGTCCCAATTAAAAGTATGATGTTCATTTATTATGTGTTCAGAAATTACTGAATGTTTCGTTGAGTCCAACCTAATATTATTTTTATGTTCTTTTATTCGCGTCTGCAATTGCCTCTTTGTTTGGCCTACATAAGATGCATTACAATTATTGCAACTGATCTTATAAACCACATTCGAATTGCATGGATGTTTAGTTTTATCTTTCTGCGCTTTAATAATATTATCCAGTTTGTTGAGACATCTATACCCTACCATACAATTTTTATTTTTTACCGAGGAAACAATCATTTCTGAGATCCCATCTATATACGGAATGACAAAGAATTTTTTATTGACCGAGTCATTTCCTATACTTTTTGTTCTTTCTATGTTGGCCTGTCTCTCTATAATGCTCCCCTTAGATATGATGTGTTCTATCCGATGATTAATTTTGTTAAAAATCAGATCAAGAGGGTAACCATTGCTTCTGAGTATATTAATAATTAACTCCAAATTTTTATTAAAAAATAGTGGATGTGATAGCAATAGACATCTGTCTACAAGGTTATATATTATTCCAATTTTGTGGCATAATGGGTGGTTTGAATAAAATGATAACGTCCTTCCTGAGAAGGTTTCTTTTTGATACCAGTCTATATATATTTGTTATTAATAATTTTAAGTGATAAATCTAAGAAATTCAAGCTATGGTTAACCTCTTGTTCGACCGTGAATTTAAGTCTTTCATGATAGTTGTTAAAATTATTCACAATCTGAGTCATATTAGTCATAGAGGTGGCCACTATTATGTCATCCACATAACGAAAATAAAACAAACATTCCAAATTCAACGCTTTGAGAACTGTATCCTCAAGATCTTGCATAACCAGGTCTGCAATAATTGGTGATAACGGTGACCCCATAGGGGTCCCAAACGTCTGTTTATAAATTATGTCATCAAATGTAAAATATGTAGAAGTCAATATGAATTTTATACCCCCAAAAATTCGTCATTACAAAATAGGATTTTTCATCTCACCAGCGGGTTATTTAATCGTTTTACCTGTAACTCGCGTGGAATAGAATTTTCGAACATCATAACATTGCTTTTAAAAATTGCCACAACAGATTGGTTACTGCACACGAAAAGAAATTCAATTGGCTTAAGAGAAAACAACACTATAAGTATATCAACAGCATCAAACCTATAGATATACATTGTTCTTTACATTTTGAAACTTCACAACCGACCGAAAATATCACAAAATTCTCTCAGGGCAATCACTAATGATGCCAAGGAGATCAATATACACATAGAAGCCAATAAATTTCTCAATGATACAATTAACCCTTTGAAAATACTAATAAAAAATGGTTTGTTAATCTTTCCAACACAGACATTCCGCCTAACGTTTCTAATCTGTTGCAAATGGGTGATAAATTCTGTCTTCCGAATATTAGTAAAAAAAACAGCGATACATGAATTCATCAAGGACATAGAGAGTAATAGCAAACGAAATAATATTAATAATCTCACAACGATCAGAAATATCGCGGTTCCAAAATTTGCACAACTTCTGAACACGAAGGATAAAAATGACGTAAGTCAACAAAAATTACTTGGTGCACACAGAGATTTAATAAAATTTTGTAAAGACAATCCGAATGTTCTATTCACACGCGCGGACAAGGGTAATGCTACGGTGGCAATGGAAAGATCTCATTATATTAACAAAATGGAAAACGTTTTAAAAGATGTCAACACTTACACTATTGTTAAAAAAAATCCGTGCAAAAAAATAGAGAACGATTTGAATGATTTGTTGAAGAGATGGCTTAAAGAAGATTATATTTCAAAAAACGAATATTAAATTACGTTGTAGTGATTCTCTCCTTCCAAAAGCGTATGGATTACTTAAAATCCATAAGGAAAACTATCCAGTTAGAATCATAGTTTCATCGGTTGATACAGCTCTATACTCGCTGGCTTCGTTTTTACAAAACACCTTACGAACTAGCCTACCCAAAGCGAAAAGTCATATAATAATAGTTTTGATTTGTACAGCATATTGTCTGGTAAAAAGATTGATGAGAATGATAGGATGTTTCTTGGATGTGGTGTCTTTGTTTACGAACGTTCCTCTGGATCTTGCGATTGACGGTATTAACGATAGATGGGATCACATTGGAATAAATACTAAAATACCGAAAAACGAATTTTTGGGGGGTATAAAATTCATATTGACTTCTACATATTTTACATTTGATGACATAATTTATAAACAGACGTTTGGGACCCCTATGGGGTCACCGTTATCACCAATTATTGCAGACCTGGTTATGCAAGATCTTGAGGATACAGTTCTCAAAGCGTTGAATTTGGAATGTTTGTTTTATTTTCGTTATGTGAATGACATAATAGTGGCCACCTCTATGACTATATGACTCAGATTGTGAATAATTTTAACAACTATCATGAAAGACTTAAATTCACGGTCGAACAAGAGGTTAACCATAGCTTGAATTTCTTAGATTTATCACTTAAAATTATTAATAACAAAATATATATAGACTGGTATCAAAAAGAAACCTTCTCAGGAAGGACGTTATCATTTTATTCAAACCACCCATTATGCCACAAAATTGGAATAATATATAACCTTGTAGACAGATGTCTATTGCTATCACATCCACTATTTTTTAATAAAAATTTGGAGTTAATTATTAATATACTCAGAAGCAATGGTTACCCTCTTGATCTGATTTTTAACAAAATTAATCATCGGATAGAACACATCATATCTAAGGGGAGCATTATAGAGAGACAGGCCAACATAGAAAGAACAAAAAGTATAGGAAATGACTCGGTCAATAAAAAATTCTTTGTCATTCCGTATATAGATGGGATCTCAGAAATGATTGTTTCCTCGGTAAAAAATAAAAATTGTATGGTAGGGTATAGATGTCTCAACAAACTGGATAATATTATTAAAGCGCAGAAAGATAAAACTAAACATCCATGCAATTCGAATGTGGTTTATAAGATCAGTTGCAATAATTGTAATGCATCTTATGTAGGCCAAACAAAGAGGCAATTGCAGACGCGAATAAAAGAACATAAAATAATATTAGGTTGGACTCAACGAAACATTCAGTAATTTCTGAACACATAATAAATGAACATCATACTTTTAATTGGGACAATGTTAAGATCATGGACAACGAAAATAATTATTATAAAAGACTCATTTCTGAGATGCTACATATCAAGGAACAAAAAAATGGACTAAATTTAAACAAAGATACTGAGTTACTTAGCGAGTCGTATTTTGATATTTTGGATATATTAGCGAACAAGAAATAATAATAGGACAAATAGGACATTAACGAGTAAAACATAGATATTAGATCATATATAAACACGCACGCTCTCCGATCAAGTAGAGTTTAAAATGAGCTGTCTTTCTGTATTGTTGGTTGTTATGTGTCATCCTTAATAACTGTTAATAAGTAGCAAAATTGTCAAGAAGAACGATGATAGGTAAGCATACTACCAATTGTAGGGATACATATTATAATTTGGACATACGTTGATCGGTAATTTTTTATTAATCGCAGCGCCTACGGAACGGGTTAATTTCTCGCATATTAACGATGAAACTATCCGAGATCTGAACAAAATCAGGGATCATATCGAGGCGAACATTGTTGGACAGGACGGATTGAAACACGCGTTAATTGCTCAAAAACTCTTGATTCTGAATAACTATAATTAAATTCGATATTATGTGAATTGTAAGAATTTATATTTCAATAATTATACTGAAGAAGACCGCGTGCGGTCGAAACGTTTATAGAATGATTGTAATTTGCGTTAGTTTTAATATAATGACTGTAGTTTTATAATTTATACATGTAATAAATGGTAGTTGACTGAACATCTCGAATATTCAGCTCGATAAGTTGGCCTTATATTATCACTTTGTTTTCAATATACGAGCGACAATTGTATAATTTATAAAAAAAAAATAATTTTTTGAAATTAGATAGTTTTCTTTAGTGAAGTTTTTGTAAATGCAAATTTAATATAATTACAACAAAATTAAGAATTAGCATTTTTCCTAAATACATCTTATATTATTTTCAATATACCAATACGGTGCTTTCTTATTTTTAT